TGCATGTCATCAGCTCATTTAAATTTCAAATCGCATCCATCATTTCCAATTGCTTCCAATACTTTAATACTGATCACTTTCCAACCTCAGCTTACTCAACATTTTAATAATCCCCAGACTAAAGGTCACCATCTCCTTCCTCAATTAACTCTTCAGTCATGCCCCACACAAACTCCAACTCATCTGAAATGTTGCTGCACCCCGCCTACAAATACTGCCCATTCCACCCATTACACAGCCAGCAAGAAGTGTTACCCCATTCCCCCCACCTGACATGTCTCCAATCATCAATGTCAAAATCCTCATAGAGTCAAAGTGATAGAGTCATAGAAATCTACAGCATGGAAACAGGCCCTTCAGCCCTTCTTACCCATGCCACCCAGTTTCCACAATTCAAACTAGTTCCATTTGGCTGCATTTGATCCATTTCCCTACATATCTATCCCATCCATCTACCTGTCTAAATGTTTCTAAATGTTGAGGAATGTGGGATAAGACCCAAAGGTTGGAACATGAGGTAAATCAGGATTAATGGTGGGATGATATTAAGCTTTATTTTAATATATGATGAGAAGGAGAATTAAATCTTGATTGAAAAGTAGGACCCAGAATGGAGCAGCGATGCAGAGCGGGTTGGAGGCATGGAGTGAGGCGGTCTGGAGGCCGGAGCGGAACAGGACGGCCAGTGGGCTGGAGGCCAGAGCAGAACGGGTTGGCCAGTGGGCTGGAGGCCGCAGTGGAACGGGACGGCCAGTGGGCTGGAGGCCGCAGTGGAACAGGACGGCCAGTGGGCTGGAGGCCGCAGTGGAACGGGATGGCCAGTGGGCTGGAGGTCAGAGCACAGCAGGACAGACAGCGTACCTGGAACGGAGACAGTTGTTTGACAGGGGACCTGTCTGAGCAATCAATGGCTTGCAAGCCCAGCCAGACCATATGTGGAAGCCCCCTGCACTGATCTACTGCAGTCCCTTTACGGAAAGACTGAAATTTTTACCTTTCTAACTTTATTTCTTATTTTTCTAACTTATACTATGATTAACTGTAAAGTAATGTATTTTTTTCCATTTATTTCTCTATTTTGTATCTAAGATTTGTACCAAGATACTTTGTACCTAAGATGATGCCATGTGGGGCGACATTGTAAACTTTTCACTCTTGTACTTCTGTATTTGAGCACATGTGACAATGAAGCAAATTCTCAATTCTAAATTCTTTCTCCTCAAAGTTCATCCATATAGAACACTAACTCATTCCCTGAACCCATCCCTTAATGCCCTAAATCCTTGATTTAAACCCATCTACTGAACCCAGGCACTCCTTAAAAGCTCTTTGATGTTTTGATGACTTTCTTTTTTTAAGGTCTTCCTTTTGGGTTGCTGAAAGTTAGATTGGCTTTGGCAGGGTGTTAGGGTACTGGAAATTTGCTTTAATGGGAGGCTAATAGAGGGATTGAATTTATGGGAACTAGGGTACGAGGGGGATGGATTCATGGGTGAATTTTAAGTGGAGTTTGTGGCATAATGTCACTAGACTGGTAAAGCAGTAAGCCCAAACTAATGCTCTGGGGGTATGGGTTCAAATGTCATTATTACAGCTGGTTAAATTTAAATTCAATTAACTAAATTTGGAATTGACAACTATGACAACTATCATCAATTGTTATAAAACCCATCTGTCACTGTTGGAAAGGAAATTTATTGTTTTTACCTGGCCTGGCCTACATGTGGTTCCAGACTGACAATAATGTGGTTGACTTTTCACAGCTCTGAAGGGATGAGCAACAAATGCTGGCCTTGTCAGTGATGCCCAAGCCCCCATGAAAGAACACCTTTTACAAAATTCATGTACCAAACTGATATGCTTTACTGGGGAGTTTGGAAGTGAATGGGACAGGCTTTGATAGAGAGTTAGAATACCAGAAGAGCAGCCTCCAGTTGGAGAATCAGGTTAGCAGAGGGATGGACTTTAATGAGATAGTTAATGCAGGAGGAAGATGGGAGAATTAGGGAACTAAATATGAGCACAATGACCCTTAACTAGTTAATTAATTGACCCGTGTGAGTCTATCAGGTAAGAAAATCACTAGGGCAGAGAGTATTTCAACAAAGCTAGATGATAATCTGATAGTTTGGCATGTGGGAGAGTCTCAGATTCTTGACTTGGCGTGTTGGTGTGTGGCTCTTGGCTTCTCGGGAACATTCCGGAGTAAACATTTTACTCACATTCTCCGGAATGTTGGCTCTGTTTTGTCTCATGGATCATCGGACTGAAATCTAAAAAGAAAATTTCCAGAGCTTTTCAAAGAAGGATATTCTGGCCACCCAACATGTTGGAGCTCAGTGCAAGCACCTGTTCGCGTGGGCTCAGACTGAGAATTGCCACCTTCCTTCCAATAAACATTGGCTATGCTTAGTTTTTATATAAGTTGTCTTCAGAAAGGAAAGATATTATCCATTTATACAACCAATACTTTTGTTCAAGAACCATAACATATTGCATTTGGACAGCTTTGGTAATGTAAAAAAAGTGCCCAAGTTGTTGACAGAGACATGAGGGCAACTGGACATAACCAAAGGAGGGTGACTAAAAGCTTGAACTAACAGTTGGGTTTCAGGAAGGGTCTTAAAGGAGGAGAGAGAGGTGAGGTGATATCAGGATTTATGATGGTAATTCTAGAGAGTAGATCCTAGGTGGCTCAGAAAGGAATGCTCAAGAGGCCAGGTTCAGATTAATGAAGATCTTAAGGCTGGGTTTGGAGGAAATTATGGAGGTTAAGGGAGTGATGAAAGCATGGGATTCGTACATGAGGATGAGAATTTTAAGTCTGGGGTATTGGCAAATGAGAGGCAACTCTCCTCTTCTGAAGATGTGGTTCATCTTGCTGAGTGCGATTTCACTAATTGATGCTTGAACAGACATCCTTCACCCGTGGCTGAGTGTTAGCAGGAGAGGAGAGCTCAACACTGATCCAGGCACTAACACACCCACAGATATGCTCATAGTCACACACACAAAGACCCAGACAGACACGCACACAGAAACACTCACAGGCACACATCCAAACACCTGTGCAGAATAGACACAGACATACACACTGAGCCACTCAGAAACACAGACACTGTCACACCCCATCATACATACACAGTCACAGGCAAATGTACAATTATAATGTATAATTATAATCATATCTCAACATACAGATACACACAGACTCCTGGAGATACATAAGCACGCACACACAGTTACAAACTCACATTCCTGGACACACACATACTTGCACACACACAGAGACAGACAGAAACACATGTAGTTGACACATTCAGACATAGACACTCATCATAGACACTTCACACATACGTCCATCACCCACACAAAAAGACACATACAGGGAAAGACACACATTAGAGATACTTTGACACAAAGTCCACCTCACACACATTTTCATTTGCCTCAAACACACATACCGTACGCATACACACATTCCCCTCCCCCCGCCCTGCGCTCCCAGGGCTATGATCAGCTACCGCAGAACAGTAAGTCAGGATCCTTCCTACCAGTACGACTCAGTGACACTCTGGGAGGTACAGCTAACCCAACGAGACACACAGGGAGTTTGAAGTCAGGAAAGTAAATGCAGCCTGGAAACTTACAGCTGGAATATAAAAGGACCATTGAGAACGGGGGGGAATCAGAGCACCATTTAACGAACAATTATCTGCTCTGCATGTACCGCAATGGGAATAGACAGTCTGGAACTTCAATCGGTGTCTTATTTCCCCCTTTCTTTATTGAAAAAGAGAGTGAGAGAGATGTGAAAAGTAGGCCAGCGCTGGGCACGAGCACCGAGTCTAATCGGTCTCACAAATTGAAGAAACATACATTGCAGCCTCGGAGGTGACTCCTCAGTGACCTCCAGCTCTCTCTGGGGACAGTTAGATTATCACTGAGGACGTAACTGAAATGTTCCTCTCAACCCGTGTCCGGCTAACCTCAAAGTAAAGACCAGCAGGCTAGTGGTTAATTGAAGATGTTGGGGAGTGTATCTTTTGTATGAGAATGGAGGGATGAGTCCTGCCCATGAAGCGAAGCGAGAGGGTTAACTAGATATTAAGGGCTGGAAAAAGGTTTGGGTTTGGGTGTGTGTGGGGGGGTGGTTGTGACTCACTCCAGCTTGATTTTCCAGTCCCTATTAACCGGTTAATGTTGACATTTTGCTGTTTCTGTCTTGATAACAGTAAAAGTTTAATTATCCTGTTCACGCGCAAATTGTTTGGAATTCCTGGCTTCTAACTGTTCAGGAGAGTCATATCAGACTCGAAATATTGACACAGTTTCTCTCTCCACAGATGCTGCCAGATCTGCTGAGTTTATCCACCACTTTCTGCTTCCATTTCTGATCTACAGCATCGGCAGTACTTTGCTTTTAAACAATATTCGCCTTCCAATTTTAAAAGTTTTGAATTTGAGTTCATTTAAAGCCCATCCAGCTCTCGTGATGGGTTAGTCATAAACTATAAGAAACAGGAACAGGAGTAAGCCTTTCGGCCCCTCTTATCTGCTGCCATTCAATAACACCAAGGCTGATCAGACATTCCTCATGTCCACTTCCTCATTTTTTCCCTAACCCTTAATTCCCCTACTGATCAAGAGTCTATCTATCTCAGCCTTAAATGTACACAAGGACCCTACCCCACAGCTCTCTGTGACAAGTTGTTCCCAAGTCTCTCAACCCTCTAACAGAAGAAATTCCTTCTCAACTCAGTCTTAAATTGGCATCTCTTTATTCTGAGATCATGCCCTCTGGTCCTAGACTCTCTCATGAGGGTAAACATCCTCTCAGCATTTACCTTGTTGAGCCCTTTAAGTATCCTTTATGTTTCAATGAGGTTGTCTCTCATTCTTCTAAACTCCAGTGAGTAGAGTCCCAACCTGTTTAAATTTTGCTCATTAGACAATCCTTCAGTGGTTAAGTGTGTGAGGCAGGTGTTAGGGGTTAGTGGGTTCAAGTCCCAGAGACTGGAAGACACCATCCAAAAGAGGGCCACATTAACAGAGAATTAAACTTTGAACCGAAGTTCTGTCTACCATCTAAGAAGTAGGTAAGAGATCTCAAGAGACCTCATTTGTTTGTGTATATATCTCATACAGAACTGATCCTGTGCTGTCCTTGCATAGGCAGGGAGCTGTTCATTGAAAATCACACAAGGAGTTTGAGTACTAGAGACTGTTAAATAGACTGTTAACACAAGGGGTCAGGTTTTGTAGTTCAAAGAGATAATTTGTAAGCGGGGGAAAGCAAGTGATTTGAGGAAGATCAAAAAGAAGCCACAGAATCAACTAAAACCCACGACAAGGAAAGTGGGCCCATGTTTTTTTTGTGATGTATTATCACAAGAACTTTGCTTTTAATCGTTGACCCCACTCTTCAATGCAAAATGACCAGGGCATCTTTTAACGTCCATAGAAGGATCCAGTAATATGGAACATCAGGACACTCGAATTGATTGCAGGGATGTTATATGGGATTCCTGGAGAGTGCTGACCACCCAGCTTCTGAACAGCAACAGCCTCAAGAATGTGAACAATTCAGATGCCTTTTAAACTATTCTGTTTGTCTCCTGCACACCTTGTACCGCGAGAGCTGATGTAACAGCTAATAGCCCAGCTGTGCGATCCGCTTACAAACATTTAGCACATTCTACTGAAATGTCTGCTATTTTCCCCAAGACATTGCCTCATTTAACCAGAAACAACCGATTCTCTCTCTGTCTCAAACTAATATCATAGTCAGGTGTTTGTGCGTCAAAGATCACAGAGTAAGAGATCAAAGAACTATTATTCATTGTTTAAAAAAAATTCTTTTATTTATTTTTTCTCTGCTACTGCCACGTGCTGGAGGTTGGGTTCCACAAATGTTTTTTTTTGCTGCCTCACCCTGAGCCAAGACAGTGACCTTGAAAGGGCTTCCTATTGTAAGGGAGTTGCAATCAGACTTTCACCGATGCTCACGTACAGCCATGTTTCATCCACGAACAGGAGTGGGGTATTGCTGGCTGAAATCTGCTCAGTCAGCAAATTTACAGTATAGAAATGATTCGTCCATTTTAAACGAGAGTTCTTACGGTGCAGCAAAAGTATCTGTTCCTCTGGGTTGGGAGGCCCTGGCTCAAGTGCTACCTGCTCCATCCGTGTTTAATAATACGTCTAAACAGGTTGATTGAAAAGTATCTACCCACCTCAGTACTACCCTGGGCAACTAGGAAAATGGGACAAACATAACAAATGCATGGGGAGATCAGGTAACTCTACAATTAAGAAGTTTGGAAATTATGCAATGAGTGGGAGCATTGGTAAAGTTGCAATCATTGAGGAGAGTTTATGGCATCTACCTGGTCAAGTCTCCAAAGAATCTTGTATGTTTCAGAAAGGTCGCATCTCATTCTTCTTAATTCCAATTAGTTTAGAGGCACAATCTACTAAACCTCTCCTCAAAGACAAGCCCTCCTTGTAATTTGAATAGATTTTAGCAAAGCTTTTGACAAGGGATCACATGGGAGACTGATTGAGAAGGTTAAAGCCCATGGAATTGAGGGAAACTTGACAAGATGGATCAGAATACTGGCTTAGTAATAGGACATAAAGGGTAATGGTAGAGGCTCTGCAAGTGACTGGAGGCCAGTGTTCAGCGTTGTACCACAAGGATCAGTACTGAGACCCTTATTGATTGTTATATACATAGAATCATAGAATTCTTACAGCGTAGAAGCAGACCATTTGGCCCATCGAGTTTACATCAACCCTCCAAAGAGCGTCCCATCCAGACGCACCCCTTATCCTATCCCTGCATTTCCTAACCTAGACACTACGGGCAATTTAGTGTGGCCAACCCACCTCACCTGTGCATCTTTGGACAGTGGGAGGAAGCCAGAGCACTCGGAAGAAACCCACACAGACACGGGGAGAACGTACAAACACCACACAGACAGTCACCCGAGGCTGGGATTGAACCCGGGTCCCTGGCGCCGTGAGGCAGTAGTGTTAACCCCTAAGCCACCGATATTGATAAGAATGCAAGGGGAATGTTAAGCAAGTTTGCAGATGGCACCAAGATTGGTATGGTGGTTAATAGTGAAGAAGATGGTTTTAGGTTACAGGAAGATATAGATGGGTTGGTCAGATAGGCTGAGCAGTTTCAACTGGTATTTAATCCTGATAAGTGTGAAGTGATGCACTTTGGAAGAAGAAACAGCAGGATGAGAGAGTATTTCATGAATGGCAGGACACAGGGTGGCTCAGAGGTGCAAAGTGATCTTGGTGTAAATATTCACAGATCCCTGAAGTTAGCAGAGCATGTGAATAGGATAGTTACAAAGGCATATGGAACACTTGCTTTCAGCAGTAGTGGCATAGAGTATAAGAAGTAATGTTGGTGTTGTACAGAGCGTTGGTCAGGCCACAGCTGGCGTATTGTGTGTAGTTTTGGTCAGCGTTCTACAGAAGGATATGATTAACACCACCTGACAACCCAAAGTCTGCCCACAATCTACAAGGCACAAGTCAGGAGTGTGATGGAATGCTTCCTGCTTGCCTGGATGATTGCAGCTCCAACAACACTCAAGAAGCTTGATATCCTCCAAGACAAAGCAGCCCACTTCTTTGGCACTTGAATTTGATGGGGGTGGCACGGTAGCTCAGTGGTTAGCACTGCTGCCTCACGGTGCCAGGGACCTGAGTTCGATTCCACCCTCGGGCGACTGTCTGTGTGGAGTTTGCACGTTCTCCCCGTGTCTGCGTGGATTTCCTCCGGGTGCTCCAGTTTCCTCCCACAGTCCAAAGATGTGCAGGCTAGGTGGATTGGCCATGCTAAATTGCCCATAGTGTTCAGGGATGTGTAGATTAGGTGGGTTATAGGGAGATGGGTCTGGGTGGGATGCTCCAAGGGTCAGTGTGGACTTGTTGGGCTGAAGGGCCTGTTTCCATGCTGTAGGGATTCTATGATAACACTAGAGGTGGTACAAAGGAGGTTCGCCACGATATAGCCTGGGCTGGAGTAACTGAACAATAAGGAAAGACTAGATATGCTTGGATTGTTTTCTTTAGAGAGGAGAAGGCTGATGAGGGTCATGATTGAGGTGTATAAGATGATGAAGGGTATGGATGGGGTGAGTAGGGAGCAAATGTTCCCCTGGGTTGAGGGGTCAATCATGAGAGGCATAGTTTTAGGGTAAGGGGCTGGAGATTCAGAAAGGATTTAAGAATAAACATTTTTCACACATTGGGTGGTGGGCATCTGGAATGCACTGCCTGGGAAGATAGTGAAGGCCAGAAACCTTTCAACCTTTAAAAAATATTTGGATGAGCTTTTGAAATGTCATAACCTTTAAAGATTAGAGACAATGCAGGAAATTGGGATTAGCACGCCTTTAGTGGTTATTATGTCATTGCAAACTCGATGGGCCATAGGGCCCTTTCTGTACTATATGACTCCATGATTCTATGATTGCACAATGTTCAGCACCATTGGCGAAACTTCAAATACTGAAGCAGTCCATGTCCAAAAGCAGCAAGATCTGGTTGAAAAGTGGCAAGTAGTGTTTGCACCACACAAATGCCAGGCAATGATCATCTTCAATAAGAAATAATCTAAACATTGTCCTTTGAGATTTAATTGTGTTATCATCACTGAATCCCTTCTGTCAATATCCTGGTGGTTAACCATTGAACAGAAACTTTACTGGACTAGCCATGGAAACACAGTGGCTATAAGAGCATCTAGAATACTGCAGAGAGTAACTCATTTCCTGACTCCCCAAAGTTTGTCCACCATCTACAAGGGACAAGTATGAAGAACATTGTCCACCTGCCTGGATGAGTGCAGCTCTAACATGCTCCAGAAGCTTGACACCATCTAAAACAAAGCAGCCCGCTTGATTTGCACCGCATCCACAAGAATCCAATACCTCCACCACTGTCACTATATAGCAGCAGTGTGTACCATCTACAAGATGCACTGCAGAAATTCACAAAAACTCATTAGACAGCACCTGTCAATTCCACAACTACTTCCATCTACAAGGATAAGGGCAGCCGATACATGGGAGCATCACCACTTTCAAGTTCTCCTCTGAGCCACTCACCATTTTGACATGGAAATATATCGCCATTACTTCAGTGTCACTGGATTAAAATCCTGGAACTCCTTCCCTAAAATTTTAATGGGTCTACCAATGGAAAATGGGCTGCCGTGGGTCAAGAAGACAACTTATCATCACCTTCTTGATGACACCAAATCAGGCAATAAAATCTGGCCCAGCCAGCAATGCCCACATCCCATGAGAAAAAAAGTACCCTAGGTTTTTTCCAGAAGGTAATGATTCTGAGAAGATTACTAACAGTACATCCACTATCTCTACAGCCAGTCTTTTTTGTATCCTAGGATGCATCCCATCATGTACTGGGGACTTGTTGGTCTTTAGACCGATTAGTTTCTCTGGCAATTTTCCCACTGATAGTTGTTGTATTTATTACTTCTCCTCCCTTTTCACTTGTTTATTTAGTAATTTTGGAATGCTATTAGTATCTTCTGCTGTAAAGACTGATGCAAAGGGTGTTGTATTAGTAACTTTGTAATCCTCTGGGATGTTTCTGAAATCTTTTGATTCCTGGAAGATTATTGCCAGTGCATCCACTATATCTGCAGCCACTTCCTTCAGTATCCCAGGATGCCACCCAAAAGATTCAGGGGACTTACTAGTCTTCTGGCCTCATTAATTTCCCTAGTACTTTTCTCTTGTGATAATATGTTTATTTCCACTGCCACTTTTGGCCCTTGTTTATTTATTATTTTTGGAATTCTGTTAGTGTTCTCTGCAGTGAAGACTGATACAAAGTATTTATTCAATTCATCTGCCACTTCCTGGTTCCTATTTTTATTTTCCCAGTCTCATCCTCTAAGGGGCCTATGTTAACAATGGCCTGTCTCTTCCTTTTTATATAGTTAAAGAAGTTCTTACTGTCCATCTTGATATTACTTGCAAGTCTAGTTTCAAAGTTTATTTCTCATTTCTTTTTGGACCATCTTTTGTTGGTTTTAAAACTTTCTCAAACTTCTGCCTTACCACTAGTATTTGCCACATTGCAAGTTTTATCTTTCAATTTGATGTTATCTTTACCTTTAATCGAATTTGGTTTATCATCTTCCTACAATCCTTCTTTCTCAATGGGATATCTTTGCTGTGAGCTATTGTCTTCTTCCCATCTATGGACCTTCTTCATGCTATTGCACAATAGCTTGCAAAATGGTGATTGATACTTTTTCCACACACGTTCCCTAATACTGCCAAGGCACAGTCGTTCTTTCTGCTAACTTGACATGCATCTTTATATTTTTCTTTTTCAGGCTTATTGCCCCTTCTGTGGTCAGATTGCTGAATTAACCTCATCCTTCATCCCCTGCAATAAACTGCTGCTTCAGGTGCTGCCTTGCTGTTTACGTCTGGTTCTATTGGTCTGATCACTGCTTGCTACCATGTAGTGAGATCATGTTTGGGCTATCGACAGAAGGGAGTCCGCACCACTGTCAGTGAATCTCATTCGTATTAGTAAGTATATGCAGAGTGTAGAGGACAGAGTAAGAGATGACCTCTCTCTACTCTACACAGTCAGGACACAGTTCCGTGTGATCTCATGCTGTTATTTCAATGGCTTCTTACACATGCCCAAAAGATATTATAAAAGGTGTTTAACAGTTTGGAGCGGAAGTAGATCATTCAGCCCCTTTAGCCTGCTCTGCTATTCAATAAGGCCATGACTGATCTATTCGTGTCCTGAATTCCATATTTCTGTCTACCCCAATAATCATTGATTTCACTGCATTACAATAAACTAGCTATCTCCTCCTTAAACACATTAACAAACCTGCCCTCAAAACCTTCTAAGGCAGAGAATTCCAAAGTCACAAAGCTATTTGTGAAAATAGAAATCACATCTCTTTCCAAAAAAGGCAACTTCCCACTTCAAAACAGTGCCTGGTTTTGAATCCCACAACAGAAAATATCCTTTCCATATTTCACATCAAGACCATTCAGGATCTTTACACTTCAATCAAGTCACCATGCACTCTTCTAAACTTCAGTGAAGACAGTCTTTCAGCCTTTCTTCATTTATCTAAGAAAACTCCTCTGAACTGCCTCCAACCCATTAACATCATTCTTTAAATAAAAAGAACAAAACTGTACACAGTATTCAAGATATCCAATGCCCCACAAAACTGCAGCATAACATCTTTGCTTTTATGTTCAATTCTTCCCACAATTAAGGATAGTATTCCATTAGCCTTCTTGATCATGTGCTGCACCTGCAATTAACTTTTTGTGACTCATGCATTCGAACATCTAGGTTCCCCTACATCTCAGAATTCAGCAGTTGTTTTCTGTTTAATTAATGCTCTGCTTTTATATCCTCCTTTCCCAAATGATCAACTTCACATTTTCCTACATTATACTCTCATCTACTGGAATTTTGCCAACTCATTCAGACTATCAATATTCATCTGCAGCTACTTAACACCTTCTTTACAATATACTTTACTATCTGTCTTTGCATCATCAATAAATCCAGATTCCATGAGGAGGAAAGAGTGAGATTACACGTGGTCCCACATTTTAGCAGGAAGTAATGTGAGAGCTTACAACATGAGATGTATGCTTGTAGCAACTCTTTAAAGTGAAATTCACCTTTTTATTTGAAAAAATGGAATTCATCTGTTCAATAATTTTGGATGATGTACATTTGTTCATTCGTTACAGTCAAAGTTTAAAATGTGGATCTTTGCCCACATTTCTGTTTTCTTTCTGTTGGTGTTGAGAGGATTCCTTTCATTTTAAAAGATTTTCAGTCTTTGCCAGGATTAGAATAATAGTCTCACCTTGCAGTTTAGGTACCCAATCCATCATATTGTTTAATTGCATCCTCTGTACCTACACAAATCCTCAGATATGTCCCTGTGGTCTAGTGATCAGGATTGTACACAGATCTCTGGATGGAGCAAGAGCAGCAATTTACGGACCTAAAACAGGTAGTTAATAACCAGATAATGAGATCTCTGTTTTGTAAGGTTCATTAAGGAAATGGTATGTTGGCCTTCATTACAAGGGTATTTGTAAAGATGTCTTGCTGCAGTTGTGTGTACAGCGTTGGTGTGACCTTGTGTGGCATACAGTTTACAGTTTCAGTCTCCTTATTTAAGGAAAGATACATTTGCCAAAGAGGGAGTGAATTGGAGATTCACCAGATCACTCCCTGAGATGGTCAGATTGTTACTGAAGAGAGATTGATGAAACTAGGTCTTTACAGTAGTGAAGAATGAGAGGTGGCCTCATTAAAATTTTACAGGGTATGACAGAGAGAATGTAGATCAGGTGTTTCAACTGGTTGATGAATTGAGGGCTAGGGGGCTAATCTCAAAATAAGGGACATGTAATTTAAATCTGAGATGATGAGGAATTTCTTCACATTGGTGAATTTTTGGAACTCTCTACCTCAGACCACTGTCGAAGCTCAATCATTGAGTATATCCAAGATGGAAATCGATAAATTTCTGGAGACACGTGGCATCAAGGGTTATGGAGATAGTGAGGAAAAATGTCACTTTATTGAATGATCAACCATGATTGAATTAAATGGTGGAGCGGTATCAACAGCCCGAATGAAATCAGAGAGCCTTGCCTCCAGTTCCATAGTGACAGGCTGGACTGACCATTCTCTGCAAGATCCAAATGACAATGACTTTATAATTTTTGGAGAAATATAGACTAGATCATAGTTTAATAGTTGAAAAATCCAGAAAAAAATGTTGTTAAAAATTGTACAAAAGCGGATGTTGCTAAGTCCGGATTCATATCCATAGCTACTGGTCCTTGGTCCGGATTCATTTCCAAAGATATTGGTCCTAGATCTGGATTGATATCCAGAACTATTGATACTAGATCTGGACTTCTATCTGAAGCCGCTGGTCCTAAAGCAGAATTCATATCCAGAGCTGCTAGTCCTAAATCTGGATTCTTAATCGAGCTTTTGAACATAAGAAACAGGAGCAGAAGTAGACCATTCGTCCCATTGAACCTGCTAAGCTATTCAGCACGATCGTGGCTGATCTGTTTGTGTTTCAAATTCCATATTCCCACCTACCTCTGAAAACCTTTGATTCTACTGCCTAACAAAAATCTATCGACCTGTCTTAAAAATATTCATTGACCGCCCCCCTCCCCTTCTCCACCACTCTCTGAGGCAGAGAGTTCCAAAGTCACACAAGCCTCTGAGAAAAGAAAGCTCTCCTCACCTCTGTCCTGAAGGGGTTGCCCCTAATTCTAAAGCAATGCCTCCTGGCCTCTAGTTCATTCCAGAAATCTTAATGAAATTATTGCTGCTGTTGGCATTGACTGTTTGTGGGACACGTTTGGCATGGCAAAGTGCAATCTTGTGTCCTTCGAAATATTTGGCAATGTCCCTGATTGTTGCGCACTTGGTCTGCATTTTGTGACACCAAATGTTCCCTGTGGAGTATCTGAACATTCTCGACTCGTCGACTTTGGTAAACCCATATGACCATTTTACATTAACAAATTTTCCACTATTGTCAAGTGTTGTTTTTGCTGATGGTATTTTTTCAGCACTTGGTCTGTTGGACTGTATTCCGACCACCCGTGCAGACAGCGTGTCTGACCCTTGTGCACTTCTTGTCAGATTTTTGAGCTGCATGAATTTGTCTGCATTTTCCCTCAGTTGCTGGGAAGTGTTGGCTATTGCTGTAGAATAAAACTCTACTTCTACCCGAATAAGATCCTTTCCTTCTGCTCAATTCACTGCTGCTCTTGTGAATGCATCCACTGTTCCTTGCACATTACCCAGAACGTAGACTATTCCATAGCTATATCGCATCACCCTAATCCTGAGTCTTTGCAAGTGTAGCGTCATTTTTCAGATTTCTTTTGGCCCTAATAATGTGACCCAAAGCTTGTGGTCCATCATGATCTAGAATTTCAGTCCCATGGTTTAGTCTCCAAATTTTTAACCCTGTATCTCCATAATTAAACACCTCCATTCACTCTCTGACAAAGTTCTCGTAATGGAATAGATTGGTATTCATATTCCATGAGTTTCCACTGGGAAGTAAGGACCTGTGAATGATGCATCTGTGACTATTATAGTGATGAAGCCTGGATTGTTATTTGTTTGAACATCAGTGGAAATTAGTTTTTTAATCTTTTCAAAACCTGCAGTCTGTTCCTGATTTCAATATTATTGCTGTCCTTTATCAAAAGCTCTTTTGTGGGTTGAGTACAATTGGTTAAATTGGAGACAATCTTTGCCACTAGCTAAGAAGTACTGCACATCATTTATTCAATTCAATGCTAGAAATTCACTGATGAGCAACAGTGTCTCTAAGCTGCATGACCCATTGGCGCACTGACGCATTGGTTTCCACTACCACGCACAGACCTTAGAGGTCTAGCAAATAAAAATCTTTAGAAAGAACAATACCTATGGATCTTGTCTTCTTTGAATACTTTTTATTCACTCATGGGATGTGGGCTTCATTGGCTGGGTTAGTGTTCATTTCCCAACCCTAGTTGCCCTGGGGAAGGTGATGGTGAGCTGCCTTCTTGAGCCATTGCAGTCTATTTGTTGTAGATACACCCACTGTGTTGTTATTGAGGGAATTTGATACAGCGACACTGAAGGAAGGGCAATATTGTTCCAAGTCCAAAAGACCATGAGATGCAGATGCAGAAATAGGCCATTTGACCCATCGAGTTTGTTCTGCCATTTAATGCGATAATGGCTGATAAATCAGGATGGTGTGTGGTTTGCAGGGAATACTGTGGTGGTCATAGGTTTGGCATGTGCTGTTTAAGGAGCCTTGATATGTTACTGCTTGTAGATTGTATAATGAAAAGTGCTGCTGCTATCTTGTGTCAGTAGTGGACAGAGTGAATGTTTAAAATGTTGTATGTAGTTCCAAATCAAACAAGCCGCTTTGTCTTGGTTAGTGTGAGCTTCTTTAGTGTTGTTACTCATACAGGTAAGTGGGGAGTGTTCCATCACTTTCCTGACTTGAGCCCTGTAGATGAAGGACATGCACTGGCGAGAGAGGAGTTGAGTTACCTGCTGGAGAAGACCCAGCCTCCGACCTGCTCGTGATGCCTTGTTTTTGGATAATGAATCCAAGAAGTGTAATCATCATTCTAAAGAACTGACCTTTCTTATTTAGTGTCAGGCTTGCATTCTGTAGTGTCTTTAACACAGCACTGACATTCTTCTTTATTTTGCCATGCATGAGAATATATCCAGATGATAAATAGGTTTGTTTCCCTTCCAGGATTCTAGAAATTTCCCTTTGGAAAATCTTTGATTTGTAGAATGGTAGATGGTCAAAGTAAAACCACCTGAATTGTGCAACAAACGTAGTCAATAATCTTGACTTTTTGATCAAAGGCTATCTGTTAGAACCCATCGTTGGCATCCACTTTGTGAAAAACTTGCTTGTTGCTCACTCAGCCAAAGTGTTGTCTCCCATCAGACTGAGAAGGATTTCCTTCCT